TCATTTTCCCTTGTTTGTAACAATATAATTTGTTAAATAAAACTCTTCACTTTAAAAATAGATGTAAAAAATAACAATAAGACCTCATAAAGTATTTATGTTCATATTTTAAAATCATAATAAAGCTTATTACATAACACATGGTTTTCTAGCAAAACAGAAAACACAGGTTTGTCTTCATAATTTTTTAAAAAAATTATTCTAAGGGTTAATAAGCATCCTAGATTTTAAACTATTGTGGGAATAGCATCTTAGATCCTGACTCCTAAAATGTGGAAAAAACTCCCCTCAACCTTGAAATTTCAAGCCTTATGAATTTAGCCCAAAGAATGCATTTGACTTCCTCCTACACTTTAAGCTTGACTTCAGTGGACATCCTTCGAGTGGGTTGTTAATGTGGTTTGAAGTTTAGCTTGATAGGAAGTCAATGATCAACTACTTGTTTAGAAAGTCTAGGCATTTGATCATAGTCCCACACAAAGCAATCTTTAAACTCCTTGAGTACTTGGATTCTAAACTTTAGTAGGTACAATAATGATCAATATATCAAAATTCATGCCACAAGATTTCTTTCCATTCGGTGATACCCTTAATAGAGATTTCAAACATTTCTTGAGCGAAGGCTTCTCAAAGAAATTTCTAACGATTAAGTATGGTCTTCTAACCCTCTCAAATGAGCATTGAACCTAAGCCACTAAGATGGCTAGAAAGAGATATGATGTTGCAAATGAAGTTGGAAAGGAATTTGATCTATAGGAACTTCCTTTATTGATTCAAATCATCAAGAAGAAACTTCAATGGTACAAGAATTTTAAATAAGTGAGCGATTTAACTTGTTGTTTGGTCAAAATCATATTTTTGTGTCATCAAAACTAGAGTCTCAAGTGGAGACTCATCATCATATGATGATCGATCAATCTCCACAAAATTCCACCTAAGAATATATTTTGGTCCACGTCAACTAAAAAAATAGTCAACTTCTGCTTAGGTGTTAGTTAAACGGTTAACATTTGAGAGATTTAATGGATTGGTCATTGTTGCACCTACTAAAGCTATGTTATGTGTATTCCTATCCTTTTTCTCATTTTAGGCTACTGGATGTCCCTGGCTAATGATTTTGTAGGTATTGTTGTCTCTTTTTAGTTTATGTCAACAACAAAAAAATGTTTAGCGTCTACTTAGATGTTAGTTAAATGGTCAACATTTGAGAATTTAATAAATTAGTCACTCTTGCACCAACTTAGATAATGTTATGGGCATTTTTGCCCATTTTTCCTTAATAATACTTTCTCTAGTCCTATTTATAGGGCAGAGAGAGAATAAATTTTTTGGTCCTATTTATAAATTACATCATTAAATTTTCATCAAAAATTTTCTCTTTTATCATCCATTAAATATTAAAGAGAGAAAATATGTTATTGAAGTATATATATTTAATAGGGGCAAAGTTAAGAACTTATTAAATTTTAAGACAGAATTAATGAGTTTTAAGGTTTTCTTTGGTACTGATGAAACATGTTGGAAGTGACTTATAAATAGAATCAAAGGAGTAACATATATTTGTAGATATATATATATATATATATTTTTAAAAACATTATCAACTATTTATTTGAAATATAAATATTAAAAAATATTAAAAATTTAAATTAAATTAAAAATATGAGAATAAAAAATAGAAAGAAAGAAAATCCTATTGCTTACAAAATAGGATTTTTAGGATAATGAATAAATAGACTATGGATAAATCTAAGCGATGTTTTTTAAAAAAAAATTCAGGCGATCTTTTTGTAGATGTTTGCCCCTAAATCCAATTAGGGGATTGAATTGATTATAAAAATATGATTTTAATTAGTTGATTTAGTAATGAATAGGGAAAATATTACCTAGATATACCTTCTTTAAAATAAAATACTTTAGCATATAATAAATTTTAGTTCCCAATTTAATGAGAGCAAAATGGTAGAGATGAACATAAATAGTTAGGACCAAAATAAACACATACTCTCTCTATCTTATGAATCGGACTTGAAGAGTAAACTTGAATTAATCATGAACATGTTGGTTTTCCCCAGGGGGACTTAAGTTGAAATGATTCATAAAAGTAATGATTAGGTTCTCTGGATACTTGGAAGCCATAAACATCCTAAAATATGATGATATTAATAATAAGTGGAGTTAAAATTTGCTTGCGCGCCCAAAAGAAAAATAAAAGGGAAAACTTGTGAAAGTGAAAAGGAGGATATTGAACTTTAATGACACATAAATTGTAAATTGAATATTTAATACATGAATCGTTCTAGTGCAAGAATGTTATTATCAAGTACATGAGCGTCATTCTAATTAATTACATTTATAACATTGCCTTGGGGGAATGTATATGTCCATTATTTATAACAATATATATTTTCATTTTAAAATCCGATTTATTAATAGTGTAACGCGCGCGCGCGCGGGTGTATTTGCTCAATTTAAAAAAAAAAAATTTGGAAGAATGAGGAGCCAAACTTGCTTATTCTTCTCATTCACATTTTTCTTCTGCTTTTTTAGATGGAGGTCGGTTTTTTGCATGTATGTGATAAGTTGATGGTCGAAACTGAAATTAATTAAAATGTGAAAAATTGGAGATAAATAATATTTTATAAGTGTTTTTATTGTGTTGATGGCATTGTTTGATTTGAGTTTGTCAATACTATACAAATGTAGGTGTTTTATTTCTTTTTAGGAAAATGACATGAAAATCCTCTTGAAATATGTAAATGACAATAAGGTCTTATGAAATGTGATAATTGTTCTTTAAGTGTCTTGGGACTTTTATGCCATTAATGTCTTTAGTGAAATGATTATAATATCCCAATTTAAAATAAAAAAATGGATAAGTGATTAAAAAAATTTGTGAGTGGATCTTGTCATCATTTGCTATCCCACTTTAGTTATTATCTGAAAAAAAAAATAGTCTATACTTAAACTAATATAGTCATTGACGTTAACAACACTTGAACTTTAATGATTAAAAAATTTGCAGAGAAGAAGTTATGATTGCTTATCCTATTTTAGTTATTGTCACAAAAAAATAGTCATTACTTAAACTAAAATAGTCACTAATATTTATAATACTTGAATTTTAATGATTAACAAGTTTGCAGAGTGAAACTTATCATTTATTATTCTGTTTTAATTATTACATGAAGAAAAATAGTCATTATTTAAGTTAAAGTAATCATTGATACTTTAAATTGGGGTCATTGCATTCATTTCAAAAAAGATATTAATGTTAGGAAGGTCCAAAGGATTTGAGAAGAATCATCACACTTAGTGGGATTTCATTATTATTTGCATATTTCAGGAGGAAATTTTTTTTGGTCATTTTCCCTTTCTTTTTCACCCTGAACGATGTTCAAGTAGAAGTTAATTTGATCTTGATAGTGATAAATGAATTGTAATATATAATAACATCCTCAAAGCCCCTTTTGCATGTAAGCTTATATAACGTAACAATTAAGTAAGAAGGTACTTTGACTGTATTATTGCAACTCATCTGTTTTTCTTTTAAGCTTTGCAATGTTGGTGTTGTGATTTTTATCATCAATTGAGAATTTTTTTCCTGTATATTTGTATTGATAAGAAATTAATACTTTTAATGGCCATTTCACTTGCTTGTAGATAATTTTTCTTCTTAGATGAATCCTACTCAGCATCGTCATTGGGTTAGTTACATCATAAGCAACATTTTGCATATTTATTAATTCTAAAGTATAATTAGAGCTGCAAAAGAAACAAAAAAAAAAAAAAGAAAAAACAAAGGAAGTATAATGAAAGGATGTTATAACTAATAATGGAAATAAAAGCAACGTGTCGGGAGAAATGGGGGAGAGCTCTTCTAATTTCATTTTAATTCACTAGTTTCTGATGAGTACAAGACATTGTAAGTGGGCTTTATGTTAATAGGCATCCAATGATTAAATACAAACGCAAAAATTACATTAATGATATACATTCTCCAAAATCAAAGATTCATTGATGTATTTTGTACACATAAATATTCCAATACACTTGATAATTGGATTCATGCAAGAGGGAGGACTTGAAATGAAATGATTCATAAAGGCATTGATGATTTGAACCTTTAAATATAAGGAGGTCACATGAACATTCACAAAATATGAAAATATTTACAATAAATGGAGATTGAAACTTATATATTGCCCAAAAGAAAAAGAAAAGTGAAAACTTGTGAAAGTGAAATGGAGGATATTGAACTTTAATGACATATAAATTGCAAATTAAATATTTTATACATGAATCATTCTAGCTAGGTGCATGAATTAATGTTATAATTGAGTACATGAATATCATTCTAATTACATTTATGACATTGCTTCTTTTTTCATGATTTAACACATTGCTATATACATGTGTGAATGCATGTAATCCTTAAATTAAGAATTTGACAAATTCTCATAAATATTGGATTTCTTTTTATAATAATACCCTAATACTCTCCAACTCTATTAATAAAACACTTCTAACATGTCTCATTGGAATCAAGAAAATTTTAAAACTCATTAATTTTGTCTAAAAATTTAATAATTTATTAACTTTATCCCTATTAAATACACAAACACACATCTTAATAACATATTTTTTCTCTCCAACGTTCAATTGAGGTCAAATAAAAAAATTTGAGATGAAAATTTATCTAGGTAACTTATAAATAAGATTTTTTTTCCTCTTTCTACCCTATAAATATATAGGACCAAAGGGAGTAATGATTAGCGAATATAAAATATTCCTTAATCTCAACTGAATAAATTTTAATAGATAATATACGTCAAAAAGAATAAATCTTAATAAATAATATATCTCCACAAATATAAAGACACGTGATATGCACAAAACTTGCCAAACTTGTCATTATTGTTCCTATAAGAATGCTAAGAACTAAGCCGTTTTAAAAGTGATGTTTTATAATGCTTAGGCACGATTGTTTTTTGGGGGAGATGGAACGTGGTGAATGGGCATGGAAACGAATGATGATGAAGGAAATGGTATGGTCTGTGGCAGCCATTGTTGTGAGTTTCATGGCGATAATAATATGGCAGAAGCTATGGTTGAAACCTAGAAGAATCAGATCAATTCTAGAGAAGCAAGGCATCAGAGGACCAACACCTTCTTTCCCTATGGGCAACCTCTCTGAGATTAAACACATTCAATCACAGTTCTCCAATCTCTCCTCCTCCACCTCACATCCTGAACATTGGTTTCACTCTTTATTCCCATTTCTCCAACAGTGGAGAAAACAATATGGTATGTGTCTATAATGGAATATGGGATAATGGTTTATTAGAATTATTAGGGTTTAATATTATTTGATTTAGCATCTAGGGTTTATCTTTAAATATCAAATATGAAATGAGATATCTAGATTAGTTAGGTAACTTATTGTTATCTTTTGATGTTAGATAGATTATGATTTAAGTTTGACGTAGATTTAGATTTTTCACTTAACTATTATTGTATTATATTTAGGATTTTATAAATAGAGTTAGAGTTTTTATTTGTATTCAAATTTGATAAAATATTGAATAAAATTTTTTCAAGAGTCCCAGTATTTACCCTCCTTCTTTCTCTCTCCTCTCTCTTTTATCTCTTTCCCATCTTTTCCTTCCTGTTTCAAATCAGTTTGTCAGTGTAGGATCTCTAAATGTCTTAATATATCTCACTATGTTTATATGAATATAAACATGATGATCAGGTTCAACATTCATGTACACCACTGGACATAAGCAACATCTATATGTGGGAGATCCCAAATTTCTCAAAGAACTAAATAGGATAAAGACATGGGATCTTGGTAAGCCTACTGAAATGTCCAAAAATGTGAAGTCATTGTTTGGTTCTGGCATTATCCGAGCCAATGGACCCCACTGGTCTTTCCAAAGGAATCTTATTGCTCCACAGTTTCACCTCTCCAAGATTCAGGTTATATATTAATTTCTACTTTCACTTACTCCGCATTCTTTGTTATTTTATGTCACGAAGTAGTGGTCTATATATATACAGTTTGTTGTTGTTGTTATGATGGAATTTAAAGAACATGGTGGACTTTGTGGAGGAATCTACAAAGGCAATCATGAGGAAATGGGAAAGTATTATAGAAGAAAGTGGAGGTAAAATGGCAGAGATTATCATTGACAATGATATGAAGGAACTCACTGGTGATATCATTTCCAAGGTTTGTTTTGGTGGGTCTTATGCTTTGGGCAATCAAATTTTTGCCAAACTTGATACCCTGCAAAACGCTCTCGCTAAAGGCAGTGTTCTCAACGGATTTTTGTACCCCAGGTCATATTCCTTACTTCTATACTTCATCTTTTATTTAAAAAAAAATATAACTATTGATCCCTATAATTTTTTTGTAAGGTTATTGTAGTTTTTTTTATTGCTCCAAGTCCTTCTAGTTTTTCTTGTTTGTAACCTTAGACCCTCTATATTTGAATATATCCAAAAGAATGATGAGGTGGTACTAATGATGTTAAATATGTTGACCTATGACTAACATTGTTAATCTTTATGTTAATATGGACTTATGATTCAACAAATTGAAATGTGAAATAGAATTGGATGGACAATCCTGTTAGTATGCTGAAACATAATTCCATTTCAGCATAGGTTAGTAACATTAGTCACACGTCAACATATTTAATATCATTACTATCATCTCATCATCTTTTTGGGCATATTTAAAAATAGAGGGGCAACTGCTGCGTATGGGGATAAACTAGAAAGATTTGGAGTAACGAAAAAAAAAAACTATAGGTACTTATACCACAACACATCAAAACTATAAGGACCAAAATTATGTTAATTTTCTTTATTTTTGTCTGTTTCATCAACTCAATGTGTATATATATGCATACATACATATAACAATCTTGCATTTTGTGCTAGAATTCTTCCCACCAATGAAAACAAAGAGATATGGAGGTTGGAGAAAGAGATCAAACAATTGATTCTGAAAGTTATTTATCATCACAAGTTACAAAACCAAAGCCGTATAGGTCATAATCAAAAGGACCTTCTTCAGATAATTCTTGAGAATACGATTGATGAGGACAAAAATAGCCGTGGTGTGTGGGGAATGTTGAAGAAGCTCAAGCATAAACATGAAACCCAAAAACTTATTGTGGATATATGCAAAAACATCTACTTCGCAGGCTCCGATACTACTGCTGCTTTACTCACTTGGACACTTATTCAGCTCTCCTTGCATCCTCAATGGCAAGATCGTCTTCGAGCTGAGATTTTTGGAGCCTTCCCGAACGTGTCGCCTCACTGCTTTCGTGACATGGATAAACTTCAAAAGATGAAACAAGTTAGTATCCTAATACTTATATCTCATCTCAATATGATAATCTAATAACATAATATTCAATATCTCTTTAAAGTGCATTATTAACTGTAAAGGATAATGAAACTTTTAGTTCCTCAAATTTGTTTTGATTATTTATTTGGTATTTTGAGTTGAATTTTTATTGAGTTAGTCCATTATGTTTTCTTAAAGAATTAAGGTATAAATCTATCCTTAAAGTTATCACATAAGCGCACATGATATCCATAAGTTTTTATTGGCACAATTTCATCCCAACATTTTTTACATTGGTACAATTTTGCATTGTTGCTAGAGTTTGACTGCATTGACCATTATTTGCCTGGCCACATCTAAGATTTTTTTTTTTTCAATTGCCACATGTTCAATTTCCTTCTCTGGATGTTTCCTCCGGGGGAAAAAAAAAAATCTCCTTCCTCGTCCCAAATTGCCATCAAAATAGAGTGCTAATTTTCAGATCCAAGATTTTCAAACCAAGATCTTGAAACTTAGTTTCAGTTTTCCCCCTTACCCTCTTCGATTACATGTTGTGAACCCCTCACCTTCGTCTCAATAGTTTCTCTCCTAACGTCAAATTACTGGATGGAAATGTTAGATGATCAACAGCCTTCAGCGACTTCCATGAGAAAGGGAAGAGGAGTTGAGGCATTGGCACTTTCGAAAGTTGGGTTAAAGGGGTTCGAGGGGTTTGATTGGACGATTGGTATAGGGACAAGGATGAGGGATTTTATTTGATTGGTCAAAAGCTAGGTTGGGTTCGATTGAAGGGGTTTGAAGGGTTTGATTAGTACGGGTTGCCATATTCGATTGAAGGGGGGTTTAAGGGGCTTGCCATATTCAACTTTATGACCTATCCTATTTCAACTTAGCGATTGTTGTTCTCTTCGTGATTGTCGTTCTTGATTTTCAATATGACCTTCTAATTTCTCTTTGATCCCTTTTTCTCTCTCTACTAGAAAGCTTCTCTGCCTCTCCCTCCTAGTCCTTACTCCTACAAACATGAACAGCTCGTCCAGTCGAATTATTTGGGTCATAGCTTCTCCCTGTTTCCTCTATTATTTTTGATACATGCTCACTTCTTTCGTATTCTAATACACCTATGTTTGTTTATGGGTTTCAACTTTGCTAGAATCTTCTCTTCATGATTGTTGTTGTTGATTTTCAACTTTGTGACTTGTCTGATTTCGACAATATTGTTGTGAACAACAATCGTCGATGATTAATTCATACATTTTAAGATTCCAATTTTTGTCTAATTTAGATTTGAGAAGTTTAAATCTTCTCTTCAAGATGCATATTGATGATTTGGCATGTATATATTGCTAAATGAGAACTTAACCCTCAAATTAGTTAATTTTTATCAATCTAATCCCTTACATTTTGTTTTGTTTTGTTTTTTTAATTTTAGATTCTATTTTTCCTACCTAAATAATTATACTTTTTTCATTAATATACATAGTTGTCATTAATATTTTGTTATCCATATCAGTAAATTTTAATTGTGAGACATCCTTTTAAAATAACAAAAATCAAATCAATCATCAAAATAAACTTAAGGGACTAAATTGATAAGAAATTAAACTTAAAAGGAACAAATCAATAATTGAGACAAACTTGAGGCACTAAAAGTTGTATTATCCCTAAGTATAACTATGATTGTCACAGTGACCAATTCTATAATGATATTCTTTTACGGTAGTTGTCAATGGTGATCCAGGAGAGTCTACGACTATATGGGCCGGGAACAAGAGTTACAAGGGAGGCACTTGAAGAGGTGAAGGTGGGGGGCTTGGTGGTTCCAAAAGGAACACACATTTGGGTGTTCATCAGTGCAATGCAGAGAGACATAGAGATATGGGGAGAAGATGCTAATGAGTTTAAGCCAGAGAGGTTTGAAGGGTGTGTTTCAGAGGCTTGTAAGTATCCCCAAGCTTACTTACCATTTGGATTCGGGAGTCGAATATGTATAGGCCAGAAATTTGCCATTATAGAAGCCAAGGTTTCTCTCATTCTTTTACTAGCAAACTTTTCCTTCTCCATTTCCCCTAATTATAGTCACTGTCCTTCCGTGAAATTTGTCCTGTTTCCCAAATATGGAGCACCCCTTCTAGTTACCAAGATCTAATATGTATCATGATATTGTTGGTTTTTTTTTTTTTTTGGTCAGCATGATATTGTTGGTTATATGTATGATAATCACATATGCTATCACCCTAGCTGCCTCTCGTGCAATGTTGCTTTCTTATGCTATAATATAGATAACCTATTTCTCGTCTTTTCATATTTTTAGTTCTCTTCCAATATAATTAATGCAGCCTTTTTTGGTCGGGTGTATTGTGTGGCACTTATTTTTTAAGATCAAGTTACGGTTTGATATATGATCTTCAAGCTTGCACTTGCATGTGTGATGCTCATATATATCTTCCAAATAGAGGCAACCCTGTGCATTGTTTCAGTCAAAGCATTGAGCAATAACATTGTAACTCTCTCTCTAGTTATGTCATATTCTTTCTTGTTTATTCTTTTATCATTTCTTATTTTTTTGTCTACATAGGATAAATTCAAATTATAGAATATTAGGCAAACACTGAGTTGGAGAACAATAGGGGTAGTTAAATACATATTTCACAAACTTCTAGCATAAGGGCTTATAATTTTAATGCAAGGGAAAGATGAAAGTAAGATGTTATGGATAGTTTAATTTCTATTTTAAAAATCATTTTCTATTTTTAAAAATAAAAAACCTTGTTTAGGTAAGTATTTCGGGTTTAAATATTTCTAAAATTGTTTTCTTTTTTATCTCTTTAAAAACCAAAAAAAAAATTAGAGTTGTTTTCATTTTCGTTTTTGTTTTTGAAACATGCTACATTTCATTATTAAAAACCACCATCAACTATGACCAATCACTATTATCAGCCACCATTAAAATTTGACAACAATCACAATCAACTGATTTTTTGCTCGTTATTTTTAAATTAACATAATTAAACATTTTTTTGTTTTGAAATATAATTTTTAAAAAGTAGTTTACAAAATTGTTCTAAAACAGAACACAAGAACGTTGCACGGAAGCCATAAGTTCAAATCATTAGTTCGTGTCGTTATATAAAAAGGCATAAAAAATATAAGCTTACAACCAGGTCTCACGTCACATTGAATTTTTGGTACATTTTTAAATTTGACCAACAAAATATGCCTCTATAGAAATATATAACCAAACTACCAAAGCATCACAAAGAAGCAATAATATCCTCATCTACTTCGCTACTTCTAAAAAGAACTAGCTCCTAAAGATCCAAACACATATTATTAAAGATTGAAATCAGACAAAAGAATAGAAAATGCTCGGACTCAGTATTGAGGCTGGCTCTTTGCATTCAAATTTATAGTACTATTATAGGGTATATATAGACGGTTACAAATCAAAAAATATAAATGACACACGTGTAAAAGAAATATATGGAGAATGCCTTTACAGTACAACTGCGTATTCTTCCATATCTACAATATTACTGATTACATCATTAAGCTTAATCTCATTCTCAAACATTCCCTCTCAAACGAAAAAGGGTGATGATGAACAACCCAAGTTTGCTTCTGTAAAAGGCAAACTGAGGAGAAGCTAAAGCCTTAGTAAAGCAATCAGCCACTTGACTTTGTGATGGAATATATCCAACATCAAGAGTCCCAGCAAGCACTTGATCTCTAATAAAATATAAGTCCATTTCAATGTGTTTTCGCCTAGCATGCTGCCCAGGATTAGCTGTCAAGGCATTGGTGCTTCTATTAGCACACCGCACAGAAGGAGGGCGTCTTGGGGCACAACCTAACTAATATAATATAACAAGGACCATAACCAATTAACCTCTGTCGTAGTATCTACTAAGGCTCTATAATCAGATTCAGTACTACACCAAGATAAAACCCTTTGCTTCTTATAGGCCCATGCTACTAAAGCATCTCCTAGATAAACACAAAATCCAACCGTTGACATCCCATCATCAACTGTAGTAGCCTAATCAGCATCTGTCAAAGCATTAACATGTAATTGAAGAAAAGGTTATATAACCCTAATCGATAGATGCCTTTAAGGTATCTTAAAATCCTCTTAACTGCTTGAAAGTGCACATCAGTAGATAGGCTTGGACATAGACTAACTCAACTTATTAACAGAGAAGGCTATATTAGGTGAAGTAGTACATGGAGATATTGCAAAGCTCCGATGACCTGACAATACTTATTGGCATCACTCAAAGGTTCTATAATAGCAATCGATAATTGTTTTCCATTAACCATTGAAGTTGAAATAGGTGCAGAGTCAAGCATACCAAAATGCCTTAAAATATCAACACCATATTTAGCTTGATTCAAATAAACCCCAAAGCATCTCTAGCAGCTTCAATTCCTAGGAAATAGTGAATTCATCCCAAATCCTTAAGAAAAAATAAAGCATTCAAATTTTGAACAAAAGATTTCAGATAAGTAGTATTGTTTCCAGTCACTAGAATATCATCAACATAGATTAGATTGAATACCGCCATCACACCACTAGTGCAAAACATAAAAAGAGAAGTATCACTCCTTGAGTTCTGAAATCCCTCGTACAACAGAGTTGGGCATAGCCGTTCATACCAAGTTCAAGGGGCTTGTTTTGACTACTTTGTAGACATTATTCAGCCTCTTGGGATCAACAAAGCCTTTTGGTTGTCGCATATAAACTTCTCGCAAATAGCTTTTGAGAAACACATTGTTGATATCTAATTGACAGATCTCCAGCCCTCTTAAATGTAACAGCTATTGTTAGAACAATATGCACCATCGTCATTTTCACCACAAGATTGAAGGTTTGAAATCTTGTGTTTGCTGAAAATCCTTCACAACCAACCATGCTTTGTTCTTTAGAAATGAACCATCCTCGAATTTAGTCTTGAAAACCAACTGGTAGTGAATTACCCTCTGCGAGACATGACTGGGAACCAAAAACTACATTTGGTTTTGTTGAAGAGCTTTCATTTGCCATGGCTCACTGCCAGTGAGGAGTCGTAAGAGCATCAAAAGTGGAATTAGGCTCTATAAGCATTTTATATTCTTGCAAGTCCTCTAGAATTTCGACTTGAACACTATGACACGAGCTTTCATTGAAGCAAAGACAAGAGCTTTCCTATCATCGCAAAAAGGTCCTGAGTGTAAGATCCCCAATTTAAATATTAAGAATCAATTAGAGTTAACAAAAATTAGAAAAAAAAACATTTAAACGTAATTAAATTAATTAGGAAGTGGTTGTTGAGCTTAACTTAGGATATAATTTTAATTTATAATTTTTGAAAATAAATAGATAAATAAAATATTATTAAAAATATAATAAGTAAAAAAAAACAAGAAGGAAAAAAGAAAAAGAAGGAAAAAAAGGGGGGGGGAGTGTAAATGTGTGCGTATATGCACACAGAAATATGTGTATCAATTTATAGAAGAGTGGCAATTAAATCGTGGGCCACCACCCAATAGAAGTTGCCACCTAATATAGGTGGCAAGGCAATTCCTGCCCCAACATAATGTCTCTTTCGGCTAGAGGAATGAGAGTCGCGGAGCAGAGGGTCGCGAAAGAGTTAAAAAAACAGAGGGTATCGCCGATTTGAAGGGAGTTCTGAAAGATGGGTCAATTATATGATACTTTGAAGATAAATGGGTACTTCTTAAGACTTTGTAAGTATTTGAAATATTTTTCTCACTTATATATCCTCTTTGATTTTTAATTTTTGACGGTGAAAAATCTAGAGTTTAATAAATTTTAAGTTTTTGGAGATTTCAATTGATTATTTAGTCTTTAATGGAGTTAATGATGCTGAAGTAAGAGTTGTATGATTTATGATTTTGTCTAAATAATTAATTTGAGGAATTAAAATTAGGATTTGGTGGGAAATTGGTGATTTATGATTCTGATAGTGATATATTTCGAATTTAATAGTTTATTTTACGTTAATGGAAGGTTACGTTGATGATTAAATGTATTAGTTTTGAGATTTATTATTGAATGCAAATATTAGTATTTTTGTGGGTATTGTAAATGTTGGAATTTTGAGATTAAGGATAACTTGAGAAAATTATTGTTATTTAATAACTCTATTGAGTGAAATGATATTATTGAATTATAAGAATGTAATTATGATAGAGAAAACTATCTGTAGAAGCTAGTAAATTGAAATTTTTGAAGAAAATCAAGTTTAGAATTAATTGGAGTTTTTTTGTGATGATTAGGAGCTTATTTTAGCTTAAAATATTGTTTGTAAAGTATTGGGATAATGATTTGTGGCTTGAGGCAAACCATAAATTTTTGGGATTTATTAAATGCGAAGTTAAGGCTCCTAAGAGGTTAATTGTGTTAGTGAGATTAAATGAGTGTATTAAAAGTAAATTAACAACAGAGATGATTAAGTTTTAAGATTTAAAGTGTATGGAAAGGTATTTGGTTAATAAAATTAATTAACCTAACCTTAAGATTAGTGTCTAATCTCATGTATTAATTATGTTTGGGATTATTATGTATTTAGATTATAAAATTGGTGATCATTGTGGCGGAGCAACATGTATGGGAAATTTAATTGCTATGACCAAAGGTAACCTTTACTTTGTGTATTGTGTAATTGGTTGTATGTGTTTTATTGAAAATTTATCATTATTTAGAAATATGTGCTTTGGAAATGTATAATTATTGTTTGAAAAATTATATTGCTAGTAAGATAAAAATTAATATATATTTATGTTTGGTATAAAAATTTCATGTTCGAAAGTGTGTAATATTGTTTGAAATTCATAATTGTTGGAAAATCATATATGCATGAATTATATTGTTATGGAAAATTATTTGAGAGACTTATAATTAAATAATATATCATGTGGGATGCTCTCATCTAATCCATGAGTGGCACTTTGCCGCTTAAACTAGCTTACATTTGGCTGGGTGAATTAAACATTGGGCATGAACTTCAATTCCAAAAAAAAAGAGATAAGGTGGTAGTCTTATATATTTTGTTCAGTTATGTTTGGAATTGTTTGGAATTTGTTCAAATTAAATTGTTTAAAAATTATTTTGCTTACCCTACTCAGTAGTCACATGATTAGTTGCATACCATACATTATGATATAGTAGTTTTGATTACTGAGACTTTTGTCTCTCATTCTACATGATTAATATTTTTACAGGAGCAAGTCCATTCAGAAAAGAACCTGAGACTTAGACTTGGTGCATGAAATATCAATTTATGTTGTTATGCCTCATTTTGTGATTTAATGTATAATTGCCAACTTAGAGAAATTTTGAATATAATTGAGCATGTAGACTAGTCTAACTCATTAAATTCAAACTTAATATTTAGCAATCTTGTCACCACAAGCAATGTAGAATGTGTTTTACACCTATCAAAAAAGTAGCTCCTCTGTAGCTTGTAACATTTTATAAAACTTCCCAGCTTCACAATTAAGAAACTCTTCCTCAACATCAAACATTTCATTTCCACTAAAGATCTCATCCGCATCAAATAAATTTGGATTAAAACTAAGACCAGCAACTTAAAAAACCATATTTCAACAATCATTGAAAATTGGTACACTATCACCCTTCAATTGAGAATTTAAATTGACATTACATTCTTCTCTAATCATTGCAATAAAGGGTTCTCCATGAGAGACCCATTGATAATAATTAGGCACAAAACCATGCCTATAGAAGTGAGTTTTGACAAGATCTATGTCGAGAAACTTTATATTATCACATCTTGAGTAAAGACATCGTATCATGCCATTAGATGCAAAGTCTTTTTGAGTTATTGCAAACTCTATAAACTTATCTATGCCACTTAGGAATTATTCAGTTAATCCCTTTCTACTTTGATCTTGTCTATTGTACATCCAACTTCTATCATTCATCATTCCTTTACATTACCCAAAAAAAAAAGATTAAAAATTATAATAAAACAAACTCTTTCCTTTCTTGAAACTAGGAGAACCCACCAAGATTTGGATGTTGACAAAGATAAAGTATTCATATCTCCTATATATATAATATATAGTAGATAGAAAATCATGCTCAAAGTGTATATATATAGCCACATAGTAACATTGAACTTGTCAAATATATATATACATATGTATGTATGTATAGGTATATGTATATAATAGAAAAAACTAGAGTCAGTAATTTGGGCCAAACCTGACGAGCCAACCCAAACTCGCTTGAAAATTTTAGGCCCAAGCCCAAAAAAACAATACTTTTTTATTGTTGGGGCCTATTCGGGGCCCGAATAGGCCTGAGAAAATTCAGGCCAAGCTGAATATACGAATAGAAAAAAATAATTTTTTAAAAACATATATAATATAATAAATAGTAATTATTTTTCAAGTTTTATATCATTTTACTTTAAAATACCATATATTTAAGTGTATTACTATAGTTATTTTAAAAAAATAAAAATAAAAATATTTTCCTATTTTTATTATTTTTAATCAAATAAAATATCTCAAAATATTAATTAAAATATATTTTAATATTAATTTTTATATTTTAATACTCAATTTTTAAAAAAAATTGAGTCATATACACCATTTTCTTGTCCAAAAAATTATATTTTATATCTTTTATAAAATAAGATAATTAAATTTAAATTAAAATAATTTTAAAAATAAAATTTGGGCATGTACGAATTCTCGACTCTAATACTAAACAAATATAATAAATAAAATAATATTTTTAGATAATTATTTAATTATCATTTATGCCAACTTAGTTAAAGATTAAGAATGAACTAAAGTAAATACCCTTTATATATAGGACTTAAACAATGTAAAAGATTAGTTAAAAATTAAGAATAAACTAAAGTAAATACCCTTTGTATATAGGACTTAAACAATGTAAAAGGTTAATTAAAAATTAAGAATAAACTAAAGTAAATACCCCTTGCATATAGGACTTAAACAATGTAAAAGGTTAAAGAAAAAATTTAAAAAATTAATAGTTTACCCATAATTAAATGATTTTGTTTTATATAATATAATGATGGCTATTTTTTTTATATTCTTAAAAACAAAAAGTACAGTTTATCCAATAGTTATTAAAAACTTTGAACTAATCAGGATAATAATTTTAAATTAGTGGTCTAACCGTAGTTGAATTAAAATTAACTTAATCATAATTAAAATAATATGATTCAATTAAAATATATAAATATTTTTGTATAACCATGATAAGGGCAATATTTAAATAAATAAGACATTAATTTACAAGTAAAGCAAACATTTATGAATAAATTGCATATAATACAACAAAACAGTAACAGAGCTACTTAAGTACTTAACTACAAAGTTAATAAATTACTATTTTTTTACTCCTTTCAAGTTAAAACAATATTTTATGCTTAATAAAATTATTTAAAAATTAAAATTGATTAAAAAATAAAAAATATTTTTAAAAAAGTTTTGGATATTCGGGCCGACCCGAATAAGCTTGAAATTCGAAGGCATTAGAGCTGGGTTATATGGGCTTTTTAGAAAGAACAAGATGCTTTAAACCCGATCTGAATAAGCCCGATCCGAATTGAGCTCGATTTGAATAAGCCCGACCTGCCCGAATTATCGGCTCTTAAGAAAACTAGCAACGCAAAGCTGCTTGAAAAAGAACAACTATCAAGCATCATGATTCATGAGTACAGCATACCAAGAAAACATTAAGAGTATAATGTTTTAAATAAAAAAGTACATGTATGTACGTACATTAAGAGTATAATGTCTTAAATAAACTAGCTGGTGAGGCCTAAGCTACTAAGGAACAATGATGTACATAGATCTCATACAAAGGCTAGCAACTTCATAGGGTTAGATAGCTTTGGCCAGAGAAGGAAAGCTAAATATCATCTAAAATTCAACATATCAGGCCTTTTCAAAATAATAACTAATCACCCAGGATTCTGCTCAAGTTACAAAGCCACCGTACCCATCACCCAGTAAAATTGTCATTTACCCAAAAAAAAAAAATTCAGCCAAAAAATTAAAAATAAAAAATAGAGCAGAAGACTGGACGTAATGGAGTCAATAGGAAAGGCTCTGAAAATGACGTTCTTGGGATAGCTCAGACTGTGAAGGCAAAGGTGAGATAAGCCTTGAAATTCGCTTATTTAAGCACTGTTCTCAACCTCTCACTCTTCCTCACATCGATCAGAAAGCAGCTACATCTTATACTCACTCACACATTCCATAAATCCTCTCTCTCTCTCTCTCTCTCTCTCTCTCTCTCACCCACCAGATGGCTGCAGAAGAAACGGCAGAGAAGAAACTTGAGGATTTTGAGCCTCAAAAGAAACCCAAAAGGAACAAGTATGCTTTTGCTTGTCCCATCCTCGCCTCGATGACTTCCATCATACTCGGTTATGGGCAGTCTCTTTTATCTTTTCTCTTTTCTTTTCTCTTTCAAAGAGTTCATTAAAAGCTACTAATCAAACTTAAGCACAACCAAATCAAAACCCAAATCTAGAACCATCTGCATCCCCTTGTTAAGAGCCTAATTGTCACACATAAAGGTGGAAGTTTCATGAGAGGAGCAACTACACAAATCCATAACCTTACCCTTAGAGTTTCTATAAAATAACCCCTGTTCCAGCTTTCTTAGCAGTACTTTAGTAAGTGTAGACATTACATCTTATTTAATTGAAAATAGATATTGAGATAAAAACCAAAAAAAAAAAAATTGTAGCAAATGGCATCCTCACTTATAAAAAGATCATGATTCAATTAAAAGGAAAAAATATCTGAAGAATGCATCCATCTTACCTGGCCAACTACATTACCTAGATCTAAAAAGCCCCCAATATAGTCCACAGTCCACACATAATCAATTAAATTATATTTATCCATCTTTGAAAGATAATTGAACAACACGAAATTATAGATAGGCAGGGCAAATAAAGCCACAAACATCACATATTAAATATCTGCACTTACTATTCTTGATAAAATCTCTAAAAGGCATCAAGCCTCATTGTATCATCTAACCTAGGCTTTCTGAAATATCAAAAGAATCAAAACCATCCTATCACTTTCTTAGCTTTAAGTCTAATTAATAAATTCTAACCCAGGCTGAAACTTCATAAATGTATCATCTACCATCATAGATGAAAAATTTGCAAAACCGTTCCATCTCAAGTCAATAATACAATGTAACCAAGGAACGCTAAAGCTCAATTTTAAATTTTAAAATTAGAATTTTAAAATTATGACAATCATGTAGCCCTAAAAGAAACAATTCGCCAAAACACCAAGCTAACTCACTAATATTACAAACAAAATGATGATTTTGAGCCCAAAGCCTTGGTTTAATTGGCACTGACTAGACCAACAGGCGGTCCTCATCTCCCACCCCAAGAGTTTCTCTTCAAATCCAAAAAATCAACAGAGAAGGAGGAGTTATGGTGTGCAAATGAAAATTGGGAGATTCAAATAAAACAGAGAGCGAATCAATAACGCAAGGCAATAAAATGTCAGCATCAGGTATGAAGAGTATCAGAAAACATAATCCAAATGCATTTGAGCACAAAAACATAATAAAACTGAAGATGGACTAGAACACGCATTAACGCTATTGCAACTTGAAGATTTGGGAGATGATGGCAAGTAGTTTGAATAGTATAAAACCTGGTGAAAGGGAAGTTCTCCCTTCGACAACTGAAACAACGATGGCAACTGGAACTCGAACACAGCCAACACTACTGCAACTTGAAGATTTGGGAGATGAAGTTAATGATGAGGTTAGATTAAAGACAAAATCAGCTATGATGGAGTGATTCTCTTGCGCGTTCTCAATTGAACGTCCTTGCCTGACTGCTAGCGTCTCTTGCATCTACGGTTTGAGCGGCCGCACGATGAGTGAATCGACCTTGTGGAGCCTGCGAAGAAATGAAACAGAGTAGGGTTACGTTAGATCTGCTTGGGAACAAAATGTAAAAAATAATATTGGATCTAAAAAAGGAAATTGAAAATATATGAAATTGTAGAGGGAATATATTTTTTTAAAAAATATTTTTTATATAAAAGATCTTATAAAGTAAAAATAATTTTTTATATATAAGAGATTATAATTTTTTAAAAACAATTATATAGAAGGCATTATAAATTTTTAGAAAATATTATATATATATATGTTAATATAGTACAAAATAATAGTTTGATAAAATAGGTACATTTTTTAAAAAGTAAATATAAAATTAGAACCCTTCTAATTATTATTATTTTTTAATTTTGCTATTAAATTTTTAGAGAGAAATGATCATTTCTCGCTAATTCCTTGCTAATTAAAGAGGATTATATTTTCTTG